AAAAGTCGTGGATTTTTACAGAATTCCTTTCCAAGGACCATAAGTCGTGGATTTTTAAAGAATTCCTTTCCAAGGACCACAAGTTGTGGATTTTTACAGAATTCCTTTCCAAGGACCATAAGTTGTGGATTTTTACAGAATTCCTTTCCAAGGACCATAAGTTGTGGATTTTTACAGAATTCCTTTCCAAGGACCATAAGTTGTGGTTTTTTAAAGAATTTTTTTTTTCTAGCAGCAATATTTGTAGGTTTTTTGAAGAAAGTTTTACAAGGACCAATAGTCGATTAAAAAAACAAAGGTCCAAAAATTATGCTTTAAAAAAATTACAAGTACCAACATTGGTGGAGTTTATAAAAAAAAAATTCTTTCAAGGACCAATAGCTGTGGACTTTTAAAATAATTTTTTCGATTGACTAATAGTAGTGGGTTTTTATCAAAGACAAACTAGTCGTAGATTTTTTTCCAATGACCAATATTTGTGGTTTCGCAAAGGATATATTTTCAAGGACCAGTGATCCTGATTTATTCTAATGATTTTTGACTCTAAAAAACATTTAATTATCCTCCGATTTTGCAAATACAATATAATCCCAGAATTGTTATTCATCCTGGCTCTATTTATATATACATATATTTATAATACATAATATAATAATATAATCCCTCAATTGTTCAACACATAATTTCAAGTTGAATTTTCTCTAAATAACAATCTGCAGTTATTCTCCCCTAGTTTATTCTTCTTCATCCAGTTACATTCCCCATACAAGTTTGTTTCTTAAGTCTTTTGTTTTGCAAATTCCAATACCTCTCATTTTCACATAAAAATAACAAATGTATTGATAATTTTTTGTAAGAATTTAATTAAATTAATAGCAGCACCACCACCAACCGCAAATTACAACTATGACACAGATTTTTTCATAATTTGTTGTAATAATAATGTTTCATAAAACTGAAATTGAAAAATTAACCTTTTTTATTATTTCGCTCACTCGTAAACATTTTCTATGGCAGTTTAACTTTTTGTCTTCAAGACTTTCAGACCCATTCACTGTTTTGTGATTGATAGTTATGGTGATGTCGTTTTAAGAAATTATGGTGCACAGAGTTTCGTACGAGGCTAATTATGACCATTAGCAGGTGTTGAAAATCGTTTCATGGTGGCAAGACATAAATACATACATATTTCTTTCCAATATGGCAAAATGGTACAATTTTAATTTGTTAGATCAGAAAATGAAGGGATAAAAAGAAATAATGTTTTGTATCTTTGCTTTTGTTGCTATTTTATCAAACTTTCAAAATTATGTCTATGGGATTCTTGCAAAGAGATGGTGGGGCTATTGAAAAAATGGGATAAAGATTAATCATTTTCTTTTCAATTAATTAAATTCGCATAGATTTTGAGAACATTGGTGAAAGGTGAAGTTAACAAGAACATGAATCGTATTTTTTCATTCTCAACATCATTTCGGTTTTGTTAACATTGTTGGCGAACAAATGGCCCATAATTAATATGAAAAGTTATTGGCTATCACAAATTTCATTTTACCACTTTCGGCCAAGCGAAGCAACTCTTTAGCTCTTTTGAGTCTATTTTCTTTCCGTTACGTTGTAAATTCTTATACTTTTTGGAATTTCAATGTCTTTACCCCGAGCTCAATTTTTAATTGTTGCCGAATGGAATATTGCGATATGTTTAGCTCACGAGCCATTTTTCGGTCACTGCGACTCAGGTATCGATCAAGTCGCTTCTTTACTTTTTCGAACCATTACTGTTGATGTTGCTGTTCTCTTACGTCCACTTCCTCGACGTCGGGCTACGCTACCAGTTTCACGGTAACGAGCGATGGTACGAGACACTTTTTTATGCTGGAGTGCTCCACTTGTGTTTTTTTTTAAAGAAATCACACTATCACGCTTGAATTCCATCACAAATAATTTTTTTTTCTGGAAAATTCTCACCAAAATGCTTTTGTACGCTTGTAAATAATATAATGAGCTATCACTGGAATAATTTTAATAGCTGGCTTATAAATGACAGCAGTCTGAAGTAGGTTGCAGTTTTTTTCATTTCACCCTGTAATTATGTGATTTTCTTGTAATTTAGCCCATACCAATATTTTTATATGTTTTAGAAGAAATATGAAAACGGAATACTACGGTCAACTATATCTGGTACCTTACGCACCTTTTAACATTTTCTAAATATTATCACATATGTCATATGAAGTGAAGGAAGTTACCGACATGGACAATATTGGCCAATTCCTTTGGAACCCACCAACAATTTAAATAATCCGATTAGAAGTTAAAATATATTTAAATAATTGAATATTGGGTGAGGGTATACATCTGTCGCCAAAACTGGTTGATATATTTTTTTAATTTGTTATGCTTATTATATTATCAATGTACTATTATTGTACTATTATTGTACCATTATTATTATTATATTATTATTATTATATATTATTTTATTATTATTATTATTATTATTATTATTATTATTATTATTATTATTATTTTATTATTATTATTATTATTATTATTATTATTTTATTATTATTATTATTATTTTATTATTATTATTATTATTATTATTATTATTATTATTATTATTATTATTATTATTATTATTATTATTATTATATTATTATTATTATTATTATTATTATTATTATTATTTTATTATATTATTATTATTATTATTATTATATTATTATTATTATTATTATTATTATTATTATATTATTATTATTATTTTATTATTATTATTATTATTTTAGTATTATTATTATTATTATATTATTATTAGTATTATATTATTATATTATTATTATTATTATATTATTATTATTATTATTATATTATTATTATTATTATTATTATTATTATTATTATTATTATTATTATTATTATTATATTATTATTATTATTATTATTATTATATTATTATTATTATATTATATTATTATTATTATTATATTATTATTATTATTATTATTATTATTATTATTATTATTATTATTATTATTATTATTATATTATTATTATTATTATTATTATTATTATTATTATTATTATTATTATTATTATTATTATTTATATTATTATTATTATTATTATATTATTTTATTATATTATTATTATATTATTATTATTATTATTATTATTATTATATTATATTATTATTATTATTATTATTATTATTATTATTATTATTATTATTATTATTATTATATTATTATTATTATTATTATTATTATTATTATTATTATTATTATTATTATTATTATTATTATTATTATTATTATTATTATATTATTATTATTATTATTATTATATTATTATTATTATTATTATTATTATTATTATTATTATTATTTATTATTATTATTATTATTATTATTATTATATTATTATTATTATTATTATTATTATTATTATTATTATTATTATTATTATTATATTATTATTATTATTATTATTATTATTATTATTATTATTATTATTATTATTATTATTATTATTATTATATTATTATTATTATTATTATTATTATTATTATTATTATTATTATTATTATATTATTATTATTATTATTATTATTATTAGTATTAGTATTATTATTATTATTATATTATTATTATTATTATTATTATTATTATTATTATTATTATTATTATTAGTATTATTATTATTATTATTATTATTATTATTATTATTATTATTATTATTATTATTATTATTATTATTATTATTATTATTATTATTATTATTATTATTATTATTATTATAATTATTATTAATATTTTTGTACTCTGTAACAAATTGTTGCTATATATAACTCTCTAATTGTTACTATAAAACTCGATCAAAAAAATAGCATAATTAAAAACAACTTTCCCCGCACCTGTACTACCAAACACACATTATGCATAATTAGTAAAGAAAATAAAACAATTATCGATAAAAGAGAATAAAACCCAACAAAAATTTTACTCTTAACTTATCAATTTAAGAGATTGCCATAAAGCCAAGACATAAAGCTTTACCCTACAAATGTATTGAGCTTTCGGTTAATATCAAATGAATTGAATTTAAGCAAAGCAGATAAGACAAGACCACACATACACACCCATACCAGCAAAAACATTCACTACGAAATATAAGACAGACCATAATGCATGCATGATAAAAACGGTGGTGGCATATGTAATACCAACACCACCTTCAGAGAGTTTTACGTTCGGGAGAGAGAGAGCGTTACATTTAAGTAGTGTATGTGTGTCCGTGTAAATATATTCATAGACAGTTATTAATGAATTTTTGTTGGACACAAAACAACATCAAACACCAACAACATGCCAATACAACTTTTGGAGCACGTACAACAAACGGCAAACGGAGAAACAAAAGAAGGCTGTGGAAAGACATGGCTGGCAAAGAGAGCCAAAGACCAGCCAAGATTGGAAACCAGCCAAATCGTCGGTAAAACAAAAACAACGGTGAACTGATCGACGTAGACACACACACACAGGCAGACAAACACGCTCACGAAACGTAAGACAAGTGAAGTGAAATAAACGATGCAAAAGAAAACTAGTGGTGAGCGGCCACCCGATTTCAAGCTGGCAATTCAGTTGAGTCGCGTAAGTCACTGTGAGCGTTGCGTTTTGTTGGTACCAACTTTCGATCAGCGTTTTAAACGATTTTGTCTTTTTTGTGTGTTTCAAATCTAGACATATGATTTCAAAATTTCCATATTCCAAAATACCCAATTAAAAAAACAAAAGTAACAAGAGCAAAGGCAGCAGCAGCCGCAACAAAAGCAAAAGCAAAACGAGGCCATATATGTGATGGTGGTGAAAGATAAAATAATGTGGCGACTTTGTTTATGACAAGAAAAAAAAATAATAAAAAATAGAAAATTAAAAAAATAACAAAAAAAAAAAAACAAAAAATTTCAAAAATTAAAAATAACAAAGAGAAATAAAAATAAAATTTAAAAAAGTAAGCAAGTTATATAATTTAAAATAAAAAATTGAAAATAAAAATGAAACGTTTATTTTTGTTTAAAAATAAAATTACAAAAATTTTAACTTAAGCAAACTCCAATAACAACAATACCCCCTTAAAAGTTTTCAGTTTCGTTTTCATTTGACCGATTGTGTTTTTCTTGCTGCCTTCTTTTATGTGCAATTTTCCCATTTCTCAAGGAAAAACCTGTTATCTTGTAAGATTACGGTATTTTTTTTTTCTTTAAAAGCCAACTTGAACGTAAGAAGAAAATAACAACAAACACAAGAAAAAAATAAACGTAACAAAAAAGAAAAAACAAGTCAACAAAAAAAAAAAAAAATACAAAAAAACCAACAACTACAACTACAACTCGATACAGCTAAAAGGCTATTGCAAATTTTCTGTAAACGCAACAATAAAAAGTGAAATTAATTTGAAAGCAACAGCAACAACAAAAGAGCAAAACAACTTTTAAGTTGGAAAAAAATAAGAGTGAACCAAACTGAAACTGCTTTTAGCAAATCACCAGGCAGCCAACCAACCAAAAAAAAAAAAAAAAAATAAATAAATACAAATAAAACAACAACAATAAAATTACTATTAACTCAAAAGATTGTTAAGCAATCTCCGAAGTTGAAATTTTCTTTATTTAGCAAAACCAATTTAAAATCTATAATTTTAGTGTTTGTTTTTTAATAATTCATTATTTTCATTTGTTTTAATAAAAATTCTACGAAACTTTTTTTTAGCAAAACAAAAAAAAATTATTGCAAATTTGAAGCCATTTTTTTGGATTATATCCGCAACCCACTAAGTAATAGCTGAAATCGTCCAATTATCTCCACACACACACAACAGCAAAAGCATACACAAATCTTTTTATTTTAAACAAATTATCAGCAGCAAACATTAAAAGGTAAGTTTGAGGAAAACTAATATTTAATTATTGAATTCAAATCCAAATTTTTAAATTAAATTTTGCAAACTCAAAATATACAAATAAAACTATTGAATTTAAAAACATTTGTTAACAGAAACTAGATTAAGTTTAAGTTTGATTGGATTGATCGTTTACACCCAATCGTCAAGAAATACATGATAATAAATGTATTGATATAAAGCGAACAGTCACTAAAAGAATAGCTGGATTCGAAAATTGTGTTGTTTGCAAAAGTTTTTTCATTGTCGAATTTTTATATTAAATTATAATCAATTATAAATATATACTAGAAATGTTCAAATATCTTTTAAAGTAAATTTGTTTAAAATTACTTAATATGAAAAAGAAAAAAACATTTTCAATATTTTTGTGAAAAATCCTCAATTTACCTTCAATCCAAAATTCATGCAATAGTAAATTTTTTGATACCAAATGAATAGAGATTCTTTAATTTAAATTTGGGGAATATTGGTCCAACATAGATTATTTAAAATTAGAAGTCTTCCTACGAGATCTAATTTTTTGTTAATTAATATTGACAATGATTTTGAAAATTTCTTTAGTTTAATTCACTCTATTAGCCGAATAACTTGTTTAAAGCCCAAACAAGAAAAAAAAACAACCTTCTACATTACCAGTAGGTTGAAAATAATGCATTGCAATGTAACGAGTGTGCAGGTCCGTCTACAAAACCACCGAGTAATCCAGGCGGATTCCATCCAAAAATTGTTCGATGATGTCTGAACTTTTTGTTTGAAAAAAAAAATAACCATGATTTTCCTCGCCAAAATCATCTTAATATGAGATTCGATCTTGAATATTTGAAAACTAATCAGCCAAAAAAGTTTAAAATAGTCAAAGGGCGGGCGTGACGTTCTTATAAAGACGCATATTTTTATACCCCATAACACTATGTGTTGGTGGCATTATAAGTTTGATTGGGCCAAAAATTCTGTAATACCTCGAAACATTGGACCTCTACGCACGATGTTCACATCTCGCCAAGCTGAGTTGATTTAGCTTTGTGTGTCCGTCTGTTCACTATAATTAGTAACCGAGCTCCAGGTCGCTATTGTGGTCCGATTTTCACACAATTTTTCATGGCGTTAGGGTCAGAACAGATGTCTATTTTTGGAGATGATCTTAAAATATTTAGGGGCTAAAATGAACAGAATTTTTTTCTGATTTGCAGTCGCTCTACGGATTACACTTACATACGATGCTGAATTTCGCACGAGAAGTCAATTTGGATGGCCATTGGATTGTATTGAGCAGGAAAAATATATTTCGTGTGAAATTCTTATGATGTGTCAAATTCATAAATGTAGTGCCAAAGGACTACAGGACTATATGTCGTTAATTCTAAATATCCACCAAAATGGCTTTGAATCTAAGGGATATTCCAATATTGTATGTTAATCCATATTCGTCTCCGTACGACTATAACCTTCTCCTACTTGTTAATTTTGAATAAAGTTTGAATGGATTTCATTTCCCAAAGATGATAATAATATAAGTTTTTATACCCTCCACCATACATAGTATGGAGGGTATATTAAGTTCGTCATTTCGTTTGTAACACATCGAAATAATAGTTTTAGACATAATTTGATCAGCGTAAAATTCTAAGAATGTCTGTTGTAATCACGCTACAGTCAAAACGAATGAAGATAGGAAGCTAAAATTTTGCACCGATCTGTGTTTTGTCTGCAGGCAGGTCAAGTTCGAAGATGGACTATATCGGTCCACGATATCGTATAGCCCCCATACAATGGTACGCCCCGATATTCGGTATTTTGATGATTTTACCCACATTTTTCAACGGAATTGTCTGAAATTCCACACAAGTAGTTCCTTGTGGGTACTTTATACCTCGACAGAGAATTATCTATATAGGTCCACAATATCGTACATCCCCCATATAACGGTACCCCCCGATATTCGGTATTTTGATGATTGTAGCCAAATTATTCAATAAAATTTTCTAAACATCTACACAAGGATTTCCTTCTGAGTACTTCATCCCCTAGAAGATTACGAATATTGGAACCTTTCAACTTTGAAGAGAAGTGGGTAGTATTTTCGCATTTTATGACGTGTGAATGAACACATCGGTCTCTTCCTACGAGATCTAATAATATATCTTTTGAATATGCGGAATAATCTCACAAAAAATAGTTTTAAGGCACTAAATCTCACAGTCTAATCGGCTAATTGAGCAGTCGCGAACGTGAAATAAAATGTTCACCGAGCTGTGTGGCACCGCCTTCTTAAAATCAAATGTCATGCAATTCAAGTCTTGTATTTTGGTTGAGAAAAATTGGATATCATCTCACTGTAACTCTTACCCTTCATGGTTTCGTCACGATTCCAAACAAACTCCTGGATGCATTGGTAGCTTTTGCAATGATTCTGGCCGATCTTCATTCCAAACTCGAAAATACTGCTTATTAATGAACCGATTAAGCCCAAAATGTGTTTCGTTGTTGGACGCAATCTTTCGATAAAACGTTTATCTCAGTGTTGCCCAGAAGAAAGCTCAAAATCATCAGGCATATATATACTGGGGCTCGGCTCTGCATATCCTGAAATCGAAATATCAAATTACGGCTGATCGTCTTGAAGTTTCAATTTTCTAAATACGAAATTTTTTATTTGTAGCTTTTCAGGAAGACAGTAAGCCTCCTAGCACCGTTCCCACAAATGCATTTCGGGGACCAAACAAGTAAGCAAAGGCTACAGTCGAGCGGGGCCGACCGTTGAATACCCTACAACACTATAATAAACGATACAGTTTATATAGGCGAGATACTCGAAAGAATTCCACAAGATATTGTGACAAATAATAAAAGAAAACCATCAGGTTTCGTTCTCTAATTTTCGAATAATAGCAACTTAAACTAATTTCCTCATTTCCAATTTATTGGTAGATGTTGCACGTAAATGGTCTTCCTAGATCTGGAACCAATATTTCCCAAAGGCCTATAATCTCTCAGAAGTGGCAAAAGATTAACATTTATCTCATATATCTATATGAGATACAGACATTTGACTATATTCTTCCACGAAATCAGCGTTAACGAAATAGTCAGAAGTGCGTCTTTCCTGTATTTGTGAGTTATCCAAAAAGTCACTGGAATGGGCATTTTCGTATTTTGTCTACAAAAGTTGGCAAACTATTTCACACAATGAATATTTTTCGATGGCCATCCGAAACTGCTTGGCTTTTGCAATGTCCGGTAATCACCATTCAAATGTGCGTGAGGATCGGGCGATAATTACGACCTTCTGACAATTTTGCAGTTTTTTTGGTCCATTTCAACCCCTAAATATATATAAATTTCGTAAGGATCGGGCCATAAATGCGATCTGTATATGATATCCTGATATCCTAACTACTTAGTTTTGTTAGCTGTAGAAATATTACCAAATGTTTAATTCAAAATGAAAATATGCCAAAAATATGACAAAATGGAAAAAATATGAGAAAATTTTACAAAATCAATATTTTCATCTTTTTGTATGCGTTTTTTAGACGTTTTTCCTTTCCTGCCAAGAGGCTATTCTGAATTAATGAGAACTGTCGAAATCAGTTCAGCCGTTCCCGACATATAGGAGATCTTTCAAGCATATCTTCTTTGATAGACATATATATCGCACATATTTTGCTATATATCCGATTTGTTGGATGTTAACATCAATGTAAAGATCAGAAGTAACCTTGTCATGGCTTTGTGATTTCGCTGGGATTTAAATATTCGCGATTTAATGAAAAAATTTTGAATTTTTTCAACAAAAAAGATGTGGTCTATTTTACCCGCTAAATATTATCCGATGACCACCCAAATTGGTAGGCTTCTTCACCGCCCTAAACTCTAGCTACATGCGGAATTCCGAGTCGATTGGTCTATAAATATTTCAGTATTTGGTCCATTTCAACCCCTAAACATTTGGCGATCATCTCCAAAAGAAATAGGCTTCTATTCTGACCCTAACCCCACCTTCGTGCAAAATTTCGTTTGGATCGGGCCATAATTGCGTCCTGTAGCGTGATTACAAATTAACATGGACAGACGGACAGACGGACGGACGGACGGACGGACATACAAAAATTGTTCGATGATGTCTGAACATTTAGTTTGAAAAAAAAAATAACCATGATTTTCCTCGCCAAAATCATCTTAATATGAGATTCGATCTTGAATATTTGAAAACTAATCAGCCAAAAAAGGTTAAATAGTCATAGGGCGGGCGTGACGTTCTTATAAAGACGCATATTTTTATACCCCATAACACTATGTGTTGGGGGCATTATAAGTTTGATTGGACCAAAAATTATGTAATACCTCGAAATATTGGTCCTCAACGCACGATGTTCACATCTCGCCAAGCTGAGTTGATTTAGCTTTGTGTGTCCGTCTGTTCACTATAATTAGTTACCGAGTTCCAGGTCGCTATTGTGGTCCGATTTTCACACAATTTTTCATGGCGTTAGGGTCAGAACAGATGTCTATTTTTGGAGATGATCTTAAAATATTTAGGGGATAAAATGAACAGAAATTTTTTCTGATTTGCAGTCGCTCTACGGGTTACACTTACATACGATGCGGAATTTCGCACGAGAAGTCTAGAAATTTGGATGGCCATTGGATTGTATTCAGCAGGAAAAATGGATTTCGTGTGAAATTCTTATGATGTGCCAAATTCTTAAATGTAGTGCCAAAGCCACCGGTCAAAAACCAAAGGTTACATTTTTACAGGACTATATGGCGTTAATTCTAAATATCCACCAAAATGGCTTTGAATCTAAGGTTAATCCATATTCGTCTCCGTACGACTATAACCTTCTCCGACTTGTTAATTATACCCTACAACACTATGTGTTGGGGGTATTATAAGTTTGATTGTGCCAGAATTTATGTAACACCTCGAAATATTGGTTTCCCACATAGGAAAGTATATATGGATCTTCCTAG